AGCTACTTGTTCCTGCGGGTGCTCGAGTGCCAGCGCCACTTTTTGTTGGGCAAAGCGCCGTTTTATCCAGTGGCTGCCCCGCGGACATAACTAAATCGAGGACCCTGGTCCACAATGTTCTTTTTTGTTTTCCCCATGACTTTTAATTTGGGTTTTAAGGGGATTAAATCTGATGCAATCGGGGGTCTAAGAATAGCACCGGCCACGTTTCCTAGCATGTGCAAAGTGCTCTGAAGGGCTTTTGCATGTGTTCTGCACATGGGCAGTTGTGGAGATGCTACTTCGCAGTGGGGCACCTGGTGTTGCCCGCGGATGCGTGTGGTGAGGTTTGCTTTTCCATGGAGCCCCTCGATGCTGGGGAGAGGAGCGGCAGTCATAGCTCGGATTTAAATTGGTATGCGATGCCCTAACCGTGAGGCATTAGCTTGCTCTATTTACAGGAAAGTATGAACCCGACTAACTTCCAGCAGTGGAAGATGGCACGTCTTGAGCTTATTCTTCATTAACTGGCAAACTGCTCCTTTTTTGTTTCTGTGATACTGTACCCGGAGAATGTTGCATATAAAATAATATGCTTGTTCACGTAGCCAAATAAAGCTATAAGCCTTTTGTAGTTCAGTTTAAATTGTGCCAGAAATAGTTTGTTCTGGTTGGACTCCAATCTGACAGGGCTACAAGCTGACAGTCTGTCTTCCAAAAATGATTTTATTCTTCCTAAATTTAAGTTTTTTCTAATTTAAATGCTGCTTCTGTTTATTTTAAGAGTTGTTCACTCTCATTCTGTCATTGCTTTTCCTATTGTTTCACTGGTTTCTCATTTCTCACTCCATTGCTGGGTGGGAAGAAGTCTGTGAATATCAATATGGAAGCAGAAGACCCTTCTGTTCTCTTAGTACATGACAAAAAGTTAGGCTTACTGCTTTAAATAATGATTGACTTAAATTTATTCCTAATTGCATAGTCATTAAAAGTGAAATCGGGATGAGTGATGCCCTTGTAAAAAGGGTTAATCTACATTAGAATTAGAAGTTCGTGGTTGAATGTGGAAGGCCTGTGCAGTTTGCAACTGTTATTCCTCTCAGAAAATGAATATTTGGAGTGGAAGTGTAGCAAGCATCAGGCAGCATCATTAATCTTTGCAGACGTAGTACCATTATTAGCATCCCTCTTACCTCTGGGGCACATAGTTATCTTCAATTTCCAGACACAAGTTTTATCTTCTATCAAATTCTGGCTCTGCAGTGTAGCTGTTGAGCAGCGCTATGCTGTTTATTAGGTGCCAGCCTGCCTTAAATCTCTGGTGAATGTATGAGGGAGAGATGCCTCCTGGCTCTGAGCGAGGAGTGAGAGCGAGCACCCTGTTACTTGAGATATTTTCTCCTTTGATAGAACATTTTTAAGGGTTCAGGGAGGCAGACAGTTTACTGACTGATGTGTGTGTTCCATTTGCCTAAAGAATGATTATGCAGCTGTGGTGAAATTACTTTTAATGATGATTATATTTTCTTTTGCTTTATTCTCTGCAATCCAGACATTGTTAATCTAGGCTGTGAATTTTATAGCTGGATAAGAGCTTGAAGGTGTATTAGTACATGGATGTGGTCAGTTCTGTGGTCCTAGAGCTGGACTGAAGAGAGAAAAGAAGGTTCTCTTGCTTTAGAATATCACTCTTTTTTTTTTTCCTTTTTTTTTTTTTTCTTTTGGATCAGGTCTTTAAGTATAGGGTGAAGGTTTCTCTTCACGGTGCATGGACGGAAAGCCAATGCGCAGGTAAGATACAAAAAACGATTGTCCTTCTCCAAATAGGATAAATCACATGAGTTGGTTTCATAAGTGCCTAGACCATAAAATGTTGTTTGTTTGGTTTTTTTTTTTTTTAAGGCCTGGTTAGGAGAATTAGACTATAAAGCATTTATTTTTAGTCCTTACTTAAACGTATTTAGTTTTCAATATTTACAAGACCAGATGTCTTTAAATGAATATGCTGTTAGGAAGAATACAGAAGACAAGTTATCATAATTCTTCATCCCCCCTCCCTACTTCCCCCTTTTATTATCATATTTAAAATTCAGTATTTAATTACTTAGGTATTCAAATTGTGTAAAATAAACTGCCTGAGAATACATTTAAACTTGATTTCTAAGGGACATTATCTTTCCCTTAACTAAAGGTGTTTTGTCCCTTTGATGGGGTGAGGTCTTGGGTGAAAAGGAGATTTCCTTTTCTAATTATGGATGCCAGCTGTCTCAGTCCTAATGAGCTGAAGATGCAGCTGAAGTTTAATTCAGGGGAGTTCTTGCTGTGGTTATGTCAGGAACATTTTCTGTTATATAGAGAAAAATTTGTCACAGTAAATCAACACAACGACAAGTTGGCAAACAGGATTGTGTGCTAGTTCTAGTTGCTTTTTGCTATCCACTGGCAATCCCGTGGCAAAACTTAGCAGCAGATATATTTCTGTATTTGATACAGGCTGTGTGGAAGCAGTTTCCTGAAGTTCTATACTGCTAAATGAAATAAAGAGAACTTGTGCAAATTGCTTAGGCTGTCTGCATTCCTTAGGATCTTGAAAGGGGGAACACTTTATTACGGATAATTCCGTAAATAGTCATGTAAGGGAAGGCAAGGAGTTTTAACCGTACATGAATATGTAGAGCGTTTCTAGCTACAGCATTTGCAGACACCGTTAGCCTGGGTTCTGTGTAAGGAGGTAAGAAATAAATAGCCATTGAAACCCTTGAAGAGTGACCCAATGTTGTTTAATTAAATGAACCCCTCAAGCGCAACAGGAAAAGACTGTGCCACTGCTTCAGTTAAGCTAATGAGTAAACTTTGGGACATGATACGGGCATCACTGGGGCTATGTGTTCAAAAGTTTTTGCCAAGATAAGAAATGTGGTTTAGACAATGATGAGCCGTATGTGACTTTTACAGTGAGTTCCTTTTTCTCCAAGACGGATGAAGTAGCAGATGAGCTCTCTTCCGTGTTCATCTTCTACAATGGAGACTGTTTTAATCTTAATGTAAACCCACAGCTTTTCAGGTTCTTATGCTGTACTCCATTTATCAAAATGTTTTTGCAAAATGACATAAAATTGGTGACTAGCTTGGCTTGTGTTCTTGTTTTTTCTCTTTGCTTTACTTTTAGTGTTCCTAATGGAAAAATTGGGGTTCTAAATTTATTTTTATGTCTGCTGTTTTCTGCATGTGGCATCGAGGCAGAGAATTAAAGTGCTCAAGTTTGTATCTCTTTTGTGGGTTTGTGGCCTTGGACTTGCTATCATGAAGTTTTTCTGCCACTCAGACTGGGTAGTTTCAGTGGAGGAAGTAGAGGTTTTCTATTGCGGTGCTGATCCTGGCACTTCAAGCTTTTTTTTTTTTTTTTTAAATTGTTGGGGGTTTTTTTATTTTATTTGGATAATGGATCCAGACCTTTCAGTACCTTTTGTTTTTCCTCCCTCTCTGGCAAGCCAAGGTAGAGCGTGGATAATATGTTTGACACATTTATATGGCTTCACTCTTGAACTACCCTTACAGACGATCTCTGTGCCTGGATGTATTGTATTGCGGCAGTCTAGCCTAGCAAGCATTGCTCTTGGACTTCAGTTCTTGAATATGTTTACATGTTTTAAGGGCCTCTGTGTGGACTGTTAAAATTTCTGTTTGTTGTTCTACTGTGTATCTTAGCAGAAAATATAAAACATTCCTGACTGGATTTCAGGCTCACAGATACTCTATGAAGTCCAGCTAAGCAGATGGCAGAGCACTTCCTTTTATCCTTTTACTCGGGGCACTGCAACCATTTAACACCACATGCAAGAGTCATGTTAGATATTGCAGGAAGAGGGAGTGAGACTTGGTCAGTACTATATTAGTAAACATGGTGAGTTGGTATCAAATGCGTACAACATTCAGAGGATGGAAAGTACAATTTGAACAGAAAAGGCATTGCAGGTATTCCAGTCAAGATTATAGTAGAGAAGATGCATTGATGTTGAAGCAGGATTTATCTTGCATTAGAAATGAAGTGATAGTTGGGGCAGACTATTCTTTCTCACTGTCAATATTCTCTCAGCAAGAGAACATTGTTTAGTTGAAGATAAAAGCAAGGCAGAGGGGACCTCTCCAGTGAAGGGCATAGTCCCACAGTACCCGAGCAAGGAGGGCAGAGCAGATCTGATGACCAGGGTCAGCCAAGAGTCTGGCGCTCATCAGGCAAGTCTGTAGCGATGAGGAAGGGCTGAGGTCAAGCTGAGGAAGCCAGCTCAGCAGTTCATTGTCAGTGGGGTACATGGTCAGGTGCAGATGTGCTCAGGCCAGGCATGAGGGCTTGAACAGCTCCCAAGCAAAGCGGGGAGGCCTTCCTCCCAGCTCTTCCTCACCCAGCTCTTTCCTGGCAGCCTGATCTCTGACCCTGCTGAGGGGGAGAGGCTGCAGATCCCAACGGTGCACTTGGGGCCCTCGCATGCACTCAGGAAGCCAACCAATTGCTTGGACATAGCTCTTGCCCAAGATAACTGCAGAAGGGTTAGGAAGGTTTTGGAAGACTGCAGCAATGACTTCATCTTTCAGAGTATGGACATCCGCGTTCTTGGTGAAACTGAGTTTTCTGGGCTTGGTCAGTGAAAATCAAACTAAACAATGTAAATAGGGATGTATATACCAGACCCTTGCTGTTCTCCTTTTGAGTAATGTAAAATAATATTGCAGTCAGATTTATCTGCTTGTTTGCATAATGCAACCTCGTTGAGAACGTATACCTAAACCTTGCTAGCTAGGTAAGAAAAGGAATCAGTGGTATTTTTACTGACAATCAGACTTGCAGCTAACTAATTCCTAGAGTATTGATTGCCACAATAAAGCATTTCCATTTATTTAGTAGGTAGTGTTGTGGTGGTCACTTCCATTGCTGAAGGTATCACCTTTGACTGGGCCAAATCAAAGATCTTTGTCCTAGCAGTTCTGTGATGAGTATAGGAAATATTTTCTCTGTGTATGCATTAAATTCAAACCCAGACATTGACAGAAATCACAGCACCGGTTTGGTTTGTTATCTTCAGTTGCTACTAAAATCCATTGCTACTGAAATCCACTAGAGCAATGTGTGATTTTGGATTAAAGTCAATGTTTTCAGCCTGAGACTTGTTCTGTTTCATAGGCCTTAGGTCAGCCTATTGTTTTCTGCTGAACTGTGTTAAAGCTTGCTTGTAATCTCATGCTAAAACATACATTATCTTAAATAAAAAAATGGAGGCCATTCTGACTTGAAAGTCAAGGAGCTCTATGACAGTATCAGAGACAATTTTTCTTAGATATGTTATTAGATTTTTTTTTTAAATTTGGAAGAAGCTCCTATAAGCTCTAAGGATGAATGTCTCAGATTCCTATGTTAATAAAGTTTTGGGAACTGGCGTAGCTGAACAAAATGGAGGCAGAGCAGCCTATTTATTTAGCTGACTTAGTGTTGCAGTCTGCCTGTGTTGCCATTTGTACTTTTCAGCAGTGTGCTACAAAAACTGATCCTTTGTCAGCCCCTTCTTAATCCCATTGTATTTGCTGATTTCCCCAGCCCTGCATTTTGATGGAAGCTAATCCCAGAATATCTGCATAGCTGAGCATGAATCTTTTATCCTTGCATACACATTTCTTCTCCGATGCTCAACCCTTCTTAATCACCCCGAGTATTCAGGAGCAGCTCTTAGCTTTGCATGGAGGGGGGGGGGAGGCGAGGAAGACAGCTAGCCTGCCATGTGAGAATCAAGTGCTGCCTTCTGTCTTTCACACCTCTAAGCTACTGACTCATCATTTCATTCTCTATGCATATATATGCATAATGTACACATAATGCAGTTAAATTATTATCCTCCTGGAGACACATGCCATCAGACGGTGTCCTTTTAATTCACACTTCTGTGCCTGTGTATAGCAGCAACCCACCGTGCTTAATATCAAGCATCTGGTTTGATCTAGTATGGAAATTCCCAAGCCCATTGATCACTAGCTTCTGCATTACCCAGAGATAAGTTATGGATGAATCAGGAGTGCTAATTTGATTATTACTCTTTTTTCCATCCATTCAATTTTCTTTAATCATTAACCAGCACTTTCGCTCCTGGAGGAAGGAAGCTGGATACAATGCAGGCACTCGGATAAGCACTGATGGGAACAGGAATGCCTCCAGTTCTTACTTAACCAGACTCCTTTTCAGTTAGTTAACTTAAAGATGCGTTCAGCAAAGTCTCATTTGGGCAGAAAAATCCTGTTCTGGCTAGGAAGGACTAGGACTACTGCCTGAATCTGGTCCACTATTCATGTGGCGTAAGCTGGTCCACCCCATTGCTCTGTGTCAGCAAAGAGCCTTGGGCAGTGGGATTGACAAGGCACGCTGCGTTCCTTGTGGCGGCATAGCCTTGAACTAATCTTTTTGTAGTTAGAATCTGTGCTAGTCTTAAAAAGCTCTGAGATCTCTTTAAGGGCTGTTTCTAGTGGGGGTTGTCTTTGAGGAAAGACTACAGGTGTAACAGAGAGGTTCTGCTTTCCAAAAGGAGGTGTTATCCTGGACGTGGGCTGTCTCTTGTCATCTTTAGTTATGTGAAATGGGGTTTTATTTTAAGAATGCCTGTTCTGTGTTTGGATGCTTTGACTGACAGTCTGGTCAAGACAAACTGTCCAAAATTACTACAGTACCATGTGTCTTAATAGGGTACTTATTTTTTCTTTTCTTTTTTTTTCCCCCCCTCCCAGAGGTTGGTTTGACATAGCTTGAAACCACTAATGCACAGTAAAATCCATTTGGCTTGCTTAGCAAGAACTAGACTCTGCAGGGGGATTTTTGTCAGCACCTTTCTCCATCTCTTGGTAGAAAGATTAAATTACTTACCCTCTGGCCTTAGCTGCTAAGGACTATGAAAGTAAGCCAATTAGATAAATTAATCTTTATCCAAGGTTTCTTGGGGTTTTTGTGGGGGTACCATTAAACTTAGTTTGCGTATGCTGCTGTGAGGAGAGCTTAGCTGCATTGTTCGTGAATGTTCGTGGCAGAGCTTTGAAAATGGTTGTCAAACCCCACAAGGTGAATTTGGGTTATGAGGGACAAGAGTGGGTGGAGGAGAGTGAGAGGCAGTATAACAGCAGAAGGATTTGTCAGAGGTGTCAGAAAAGGAGAATGGTGATGGATATAGAAAAGATGGAGTAGGGATAAAAAAAACCCAAAAACAACAACCCAAGGCATTTAAGGTGCAGAGGCTGAACAGGAGCAAGCAGCAAAACCCAGAGGGGAGACCCAGCTGGATCTGTGTGACTAAGATATGAGGAAGAGGTAATGGTCTGAAACATCTGAATATGATGATCAAGGAGAGGGTGTGGGGGGAATGGGAAAACAGGCTAAGATGCAAGTGAATAATTTGAACTGCTGCAAAGAGACTGGTTTCCCTGTGGTTAGAAAGCACCATTGACATAATAATGAGAGGAAAAGATGTGAGTTGTTTTTTTTCTAATTCTTTCCTTCAAGCATGCTGCAAAATACATTGAGCAGTGGCAAAACGAAGTTAAATTTCTTTTCAACTCTTAATATGAACAAAGTGAAGTAGTGACAGCTCACAAATGCCAGTGTACTGGAGAAGCTGGTAATGGATAGCGTGTATGGGGTCTTTCAGTGTATCTCCAACAGCCAGTGTGCTCACTGGGTAATTCATAACTATCAGTATTCTGATATTTTGCTCAGTATGCTTTAATTGCTCTAAGTGATGGTTTTCCTTTGAAGTGGGAAGAGGCAATAGTTTCCTGTATTTTCTTTATTTTCATAGTAATTGATATGTCACTGGTGCTGATGCATCTTTTTAAATAATTGTGCGTACGTTATCTGGCAGAAATTCACATGTGTCTGAACACACAAAATGGTGTCTCAGTTACGTTCAGTCTGCTGAAAGTAGAGTTGGGTTTAATTCTTGTTTAGCACTGATTTCAGTCATAATGTGGTAGCGAAGCCTGGGGTGTAGGCAGACGTGTCTGCGAAGTGAGGTATGAGATGTGTCATCTTGGTTCATCCCTGCAGAAGGGCCCAGGGCAATACTGCATTCCCGTTCGCTCGAGTTAGTAGCATACAGGGTGCGAAGCGTGATCTGTCAGCCTTGTTGCCCTGTCGTGCAGAGCGGTATTGCACTTATACCGTGGCAGAACTGACATACGCTCAGGGATGTGAGGGATAAAGGAAAAGTGCCTGAACTTTCGTAAAGAGGGACATCAGGTAGTTAGAACGTTGCATGTGGAGCTGGGATGATAGTATGTTTTTCCTACCCTGTGCCAGAAACTTGGTTTATATATTCTGAAGTCATTCCTCGTCTCTAAAGTTACCATCTTGACTTTATTTTCTTCCTTTTTTGGTAGGCAAGTAGTTGTGGATGCTTTTATTGTTTTGACTTTTTCCTGATTGTTCTGATAATCCCAATTGCCTTCTACAGTTCTTAGTCTGCCATCCCTGGGAAAGATTAGCTATCTTTTGAAATGTGGTAGGGAAGGTGGATTGAGTCAGAAGCCTCTATAATTCAAAAATAACTGAAGAGGTGATGATTAAATGGATGTTCTGTGAACCTGAAAGATACCCATGTTAGGCTGCAGGCCATTTTAAGTTACTGAAGTCTGTGTGACAGTTTAGTGTGTTCAGATATCAGAGTGATGAGTGACCCTATCAAAAATGTAGGTAGAAGAACAGAGAAGTTTGGCTAAATCATGCAGCCAGAATTCTTTGCAGTGGAAATCCATCTCCAGCTCTGTCAAAGAAAACTCAAGTGACAATGGGCAAGTCAGCTAATCTTTTCTGCTTTGAGTCACACTCTATGAAATGGGGATAATACTTCTCTACCGCACAAGGCTATTATGAGGTTCAGTTAATAAATATGTATGTGTAGTTGGATATTACAGCAGTGTGTCATAGAAAGCACATTAAAAGAGATATAAATATAAGCCTGTTGCAAGTTGGCGTTTGTTTACTTCTAGGTACACTTTGGTTTGAGACGGATTCCTCTTTCACGTGATCACCTGCTTGTTTCCGTGTACCAGCATGTAGCAACAGGCACTGCTAGCTTTGCGTTCGTAATTGCTGCGAGCTCCAGAGCTTTGGCTGACAGTTGGTGGTAGATTAGTTGATGATGGTCCTATCTTATGGCTTCCTCCGCTGCAGGTGTACCAGTACTCGACCAGGAGAGACCGGAATGGACGTGACTAGCCGTTGCACACTCGGAGATCCAAACAAACTGCCAGAAGGGGTGCCGCAGCCTGCTCGCATGCCCTACATCTCTGACAAGCACCCTCGACAAACTTTGGAAGTCATCAATCTTCTCCGGAAGCACCGGGAATTGTGCGATGTGGTGCTAGTAGTCGGTGCGAAGAAGATCTATGCTCACAGGGTGATTCTGTCCGCCTGCAGCCCTTACTTCCGAGCCATGTTCACTGGGGAGCTGGCAGAGAGTCGGCAGACAGAAGTAGTGATCAGAGACATCGATGAAAGGGCCATGGAACTGCTGATTGACTTTGCATACACCTCTCAGATCACTGTGGAAGAGGGAAATGTCCAGACCTTGTTGCCAGCTGCTTGCCTTCTCCAGTTGGCCGAGATTCAGGAGGCTTGCTGCGAGTTCCTTAAGAGACAATTGGACCCTTCCAATTGCCTGGGCATCCGAGCTTTTGCTGACACTCACTCATGCCGTGAACTGCTGAGGATTGCTGACAAGTTCACACAGCATAACTTCCAGGAGGTAAGAATTCTGGAATCATGGTGTAAAACATGTGAACGTGTCCTGTGAGAGCCTGGGCAAGTCTCGTTTTGTGTTTCTTTCCAAATCCTGTCTTTACATCTGCTGTGTGCCCTAATAGCGATGGGTGTCAGCCGTTAGTTGGGGAAGGAGGAGGGAAGAGGTACTTGCAGGACAGAGTTGCGCTGATGGTTTGTATGTGATCCACAGCATTTCTTCAAGTTGTGTGACGAGTGCTACGTGGAAGGCAGGGTCACAGGCATAGTTGGAGTTTGTTGTTATATCTGATATGGCTGCACAATGGTGTGACATTCCACTCCCCTTTCAGAAATGTTCTGAATTCTACAGGATTGAAGGAGACATGGATGTTAAAGTAAGGACAATACATCAATAGAACAAAAAAAAACAACCTGGTGTTGAGTTTAGGGATTGGAAATGTGGGTGTATTGGGGGAGCATACAGCTGCCTCAGTGGAGTCTACAGCTCCCTTGCTGTAGGAGAACTAGGGTTTTGCATCTATTATTCAGCAGAAGTTGTTTGAAAGTAATTCAAATGTGTAATTTTGTAGCTGACCTTTTATAAACCCAAGTCTCTTTTCCTTTGTTAATTCTGCCTAGATGATTTTTGGAGAAAAGAAATTGCCAGCAACTGGTTCAGGGAAGGATCAGCATAATAATTAAGGATTCTGTGAGCAGTAGTCTGAGAAAAGTGGGTCTTACTTGACTGTTACACCCAGATGCAGAAGGGAGCCCAACACTTAAGTGGTGTTTTTCCTGAGCCCTGGTTGGAAGGGGAAGAATTTGCATATATGTTGGAAACAGCTACTCTCTAGGAGTGCACCCAGCATAAAGGTCTGTTCCCCTGCTAGAGAGGTTTGTCTCTTGGCTTTTCCAGAAACTGCACTCTTCTGTCCTTTGGAACAGGTAGCCTGCTGTGGAGAAATCTCTTTCCACCTGCTTCACAAGTAGAACCTTTCCAAAGGGAGTAACTCCAGTATTGACTTCTGATGCTAATTTAGTTTCCCCAGAGAAGTGGCAGTATGTAAGTGCGGTGATTGATTGCAGTTTGTTGATGTTTTTTTCCTCACAGGAAACAGATTGCAATTATATTAATTTCAGTCAGATAGTATTTAAAATTATGAGCAGAAGCAAACACAATTGAACTTGACTTCTGGACACTTTGAAGACAATACTTGGTGTTTAACTGTAGACATATGACATCAGTGTACTCTAAAAGTTGCAATTAAATACGCCTTTCCTAACCATAAATACTAGAATTTGCTGTTTAAGATGAGAGGTGTTTTTTTTTTTTCTTTTGGTAGAACTTGGTGATTTCCCAAAAGCCCTACATTTTAGCTGGCCGTTTCATGCGCTCTGTGCTTGCTCTGCATTTCTTTTATTCTGCTTTTTTTTTGGGAGCAGAATGGTAACCAGATGGTCATTTATTTTCAGTGCTTGGTCGTTTTAATGGTTAGATCTGTGCTCTTCTCATTATTACATGAGTAGGGCATGCTTGCAAGCCTCTAAATAACTTTTTAACAGCATAACAATTTTGTTTTAAAATGTTTTAGCATTAATACATGCAGCTGGCTGTTAAGAGCTGCCTGCTATGGAGTTCTTTTCTTTCACAGTCCCTCAAAGACTGCTTCCTGTCTTCCTTATCCCTGTTAAAACACACAGAGGAAAAGTTTTGGACACTCTCCTCCTCAAAGATGATGCAAATTATAATTGACTTAACTGAATCATGGCCTCTGGAAAACAGTTGCTTAGATTAGAGCACTATTTCTTTGGCCTGAGCAGGTTTTGGTGTCCCTTTCAGTGCCCCAGGAGTTTTGCAGCTCTGTATCCTTAACGATCATTTCTTTTGCTTCCACTGCAGACAATCTTAATGGTGCTGCTTGTTGGGATTGTGTTCTGTTCTGCTGTTATTTTCCATCTGGAAAGTGGATTGGTAAACCCTGATGGAAGGCAGTGACTTGGCTACTTAAACATCTTCCACTGTGGAGGTTGAGAACTGATAAAAAAATGTGCCTTTCTCTGCAGAGGCTATATGGTCATCGTTCCTCCAAGCTGGCAGAAAGAAACGTGAGATGGGAATTTCCTGAATGGCAATGTAAAATATTAAGCACTAGGCATCGAGCCAACCCATGCAGTTACTTTGAATGCAGTCTGAATTGCTTCATGTCCTCTGCTGTGCTAGTTCTATTAATTTTTATGTGTATTGCTGCATTACATCATTAACTTCTTGGTAGAATGTTTTTCCAAGTTTTCCATTCCCCTCAATTTAATTTGTTGCCTAAAACCCCTAGTGAATCTTGTGCATGTAATGTGAAATGGTTATATTAACAACTCCGCTGTACAAGAACAGCCTTTGTATTTTTTTGGTTTGGTCTCTGACATCTGTGTGAAGGGAAAAAAATATACTTAAGGATGAACAACTTGTACTTTGTATCAACAGATAAAAATTGCACTCCATATTGTATACTCTGACATTTATTCTATCTGTTTGTAAATGTAGTAATGCACATGAATACTGTAGAGGAAATGAAGCCCATCAAATTCTTGTTTAGTAAGCAAGTCAGTCAAATAGACTATTAATATTAGTCAGATAATTATTAGTATCCTGATAATTAAGCCAAAGCATTTTAAATAATTATTTGTTTTACTCTGTAAACGAACAAGTTGCATAGTAGTAATAACTTGGCTTGCAGAAGTGCTGCCAATAGTTTGAGTTTTGTGAGGCCATTGATGCAACTGGGTTTTTTGAGGGTGGAGGAGAGCCTGGATGACCATCCTTAACTCATAAATTTCCACAACCTCTGTTTTCAGAGTCTGAGGCTGCATTTACAAACTGCTGGGGTAAAGCTTCGATGTAAGCTAGTCTATGTGGAAGGGAGGGAGACTATGGAAAAATGCTGATAATGATCTTTAATGACCAACCCAGTTCTAAGGCTGAAGAAGTGTGTGAGCTAACCTTGCTGTGGCTCCTACTGCCTCTGAAAGCCCACGGGATCCTAGAACAAAGTCTGGTAACTGGTTTCGCTGTCTGTTGTGTTCCTTCTAACTATATTTGCTGTTGTCAGTACTTGACAATTTTTGTATATTCATTCAGTGCTCTTAATTTCTTTAGGTAATTAAAAGGACTTCACAGCTGACTGCTGTTGAGATGATGGTGTCAAAGAATGTATTTTTCTTTCATTCATGCTGCAAATCATAAGTCCTGGAATCCTAACGTGGTCGCAAATGATAAGGGCAAGCCTGTATTCAGTTATTTTCTGTCACTGAACCTCTTGGAGGCTTGGTGGAATGGTTGTAGGGAAGCCAAGCTGGGAGTTATCAATCAAACCATTTCTGCAGTTCTCTTTATTTTGATTCTTGCTTCTTTCCCATCTACCTGGTATCTGTGCAGCAGATGTGGTTGTGCCTGAGCTCTGTAAGCTCTCAAGGCAGTCGCAGGCTGACTCACATGTGCTCTGTGGTGTGGTGTGTGTGAGCGGTCCTCCGGCGACGGCTAAAGTCTCCTGAGAAACTTGGTCGCTATCGTGGGTACTGAAGGAATTAACATGTTTGCAGATTGTCACTGTCTTGAATTTCACAAGAGATCAGTCCTTAAGGCCTTAGGAGGCTCTGATTCCTTCTTAATGCATCTGGACTTGTGCAAACTCTATATATTTAGAGCAAATGAAAAAGGCAGGATCAAATGAGTCCATCACCCTCTCCTGAAATATTTTCTGTTCTGCCACAAATCGGCATTCAGGAAGACTTTCTGTGTTCTCTACAATGCCTCTGGTAACTTGTTTGAGACTCGTATTCTTGTGCTCTGTTTTGGATTTCTTTTGACTAGAGCCTCTCTATTCTGACACTGCTTTTCAGTCACATATTTATTACCTATGCAGTGTTTTAATTTCTGCTTTTTTAAGCTGAAGGAGGGTCGATTTAGATTAGATGTTAGAAAGAAATTCTTTACTGTTAGAATGGTGAGGTACTGGTTGCCCAGAGAGGCTGTGGATGCCCCATCCCTGGAAGTGTTTAAGACCAGGTTGGATGAGGCTTTGGGCAACGTGGTCTAGTGGAGGGTGTCCCTGCCTGCAGCAGGGCGGCTGGAACTAGATGATCTTTAAGGTCCCTTCCAACCCAAACCATTCTGTGATTCTATATATATTAGATGTGGCAAACAAAGAGACTGATTTTAAAGGAGGGCTTTGTTTTTGCTAAATTTTGAAACCTGATCAGTGTGTTCTGTGGTTTAACCCTTTAAAAGCGTCCAACAAGAAAACTTTGTATAAAATTCCCTTTCACTTGCAACCCCATCTCAAGGTGTCTGTGTTGTGTTGCTAGGGACTGCAGTCTGCTCTGTGCAGCAAACCCTTCACATGTGTCGATGTCAAAATAGTGATGGGTATGTGGCACTTTCCTGGATCAGTCCATTAGACTAATTCAAGTGGACTGTATCCACTTCAGACTTGCACTGAAGTACTGGAGTGGTGAATGGCTCTTTGGTGCTTTGGCCACTGTCCTTATCTTTTTTTTTTTTTCCCCCCTTTCCATTTAACCAGGTAATGGAGAGTGAGGAGTTCATGCTGCTCCCTGCCAATCAGCTCATAGACATTATATCCAGTGATGAGTTAAATGTTCGCAGTGAAGAGCAGGTGTTCAATGCGGTGATGGCCTGGGTGAAATACAGCATACAGGAAAGAAGACCCCAGCTGCCACAGGTAATCTTGAACGCAGTAATATTCGAGACCTCTTTATCCAGGAGAAGAGTAATGAGGGCTGATGTGGTGGTGCCACAGCACTGTCACAGTTCTGAATGCGTGCAGAGCCACAGTAATCCTCTCTGACTTCCACCTATGTTAGGTGGCTTCCACTCTCCCATCATCTAGGCTGGAAGGTGCAGTGGCTAGAGCCTTCAATAGGGGCTTTGTTGAATTGTTTCCAGGTAGGACTTGCCAAACTAGATCATTCCAGTAGTCTGTCCAGACAAACCTGCCTGCATTGCTTTGAGTGTTGTATAAAAAACCATAATGGATAAGGAAAAGCTTGCCTTCGTTTGGGCTGTATCTTTAAGCACTGCTGTTTGATGTATGCCTCAGCCCTCGTGATCTTATACTGGAGCTTGTCAGAATGGTTTTGTTGAAATAGGATGCTTCATCTAAGCCAAGACATTTCAGAGAAGCACCCATTCTGACAGAGCTGTCAGCTGGAAAGCCTCTGAAGTCTCAGGCTTTCTGATCAAAAGAGGTGAGAGTCTGCCTGCCTCAGTGTTTCTGCTTTGGAAATAGACATTAAATGCAACTTTATTTAGCGGAAACCTTTTGAAAATTATTTTAAATAAACCAAACCAGAAAAACCTGCTGTTCTCAAGGTAGCTCTTACAGCTTTTAGAGCTGCATGCCTTTTTTGGCCCCTCTGTCTGTACCTGCTTGCATCTCTAAATTCTAAACTGTTGTGAAAGGCACATTATTTGCTATTGTTCACTTACTGCACAATACCAGTCATACTTGAGAGCTAAATAGTTGATAAAGCTTCTAACTAAACTAGTTTTTCAGGCAGATGTATTGACATCTGTAATTTTGTAAAGGTTTTCAATTGTGACCTTGTTTTCAGCTGTTAATAGATCCATTGGATTGTCCCCTTTCAAAGACTGATTTTCTGTTGGGTGTCTAAATGGGTATATTGAAAAGGCAATGGTGCTCAAAGATGAGCTGTGTTTAACTAAAATGCCAGGGTTTGGATGTGCAAATGACTGGGCATGTTTGCCAGAGGAATTACTAACTCCCTATCAAAATTTCTTAGCCACTATTGTTTTCAATTTGGCTTCTTGCATCTCTGTGAGTATATGTGGTTTACCGTATGTGTTCTGTGTTTTAGGTCCTGCAGCATGTCCGTCTACCGCTGCTGAGTCCCAAATTTCTTGTGGGTACAGTGGGCTCTGATCCACTTATTAAGAGCGATGAGGAATGCTGTTAAATCTCCTGACTGATCTACAGATTTGGATTTTGTTGTATTTGGGTGCCTTATTTGCATCTGTTCTCTAAAACTGTGCTGATTGTCAGTGGTAAATGGGTGGTATCTCACAATTTCCTCTTTTGCAACTGGGAGGAGAAGAGATGCAAGAAAGTGTTTAGTATTTGCAAATCAGTGACTAGTGTGCCCTAGAAGTGTTTTTGTTCTTCAGTGTAATAGTAAACTTTGAGTGCACAGTTTGACTGTTGGTAAAATACCCTTCAGTGTATTGTTTTCCATTTTGCTTTTTTTTTCTCTAGTCATGGCCTTTCGTTACAGCTTACCACTTGCATGGCATTCGTGATCTCATTAGGACTTAAAGTATGTAAAAAGTCTGCACTTTGGTAACGGAATTAGACTCTGGAATTAGAGTCTGCTGTTTCCCACAACGCTAGTGCAGGGAAACTCTCATTTCCTCCTCTTAGGCTATGAGTCTCACCTTTCTAGTTCTGTGGAGTTCTGTATCATCTATAAAGCAGGCAATTTTTCTTGTCCTTAATGTTAAAAAAGTACAGGGGATAGGCTAAACTGTTATCTTCCATAAACATTCATAGTGGGGGAGTTCCACATATGTAGAGGGGAGGAGGACTACTTTTTTCTTTTTTTTTGGGGGGGGGCTTGGGGTTTTTTTGGGTTTTTTTTGTTTGTTTGTTTTATTCAAGGATTTGGAATATTAGGATTAGTCCAGGTGACAAGTCATGCATGGATGGACAGTGTGAGCTGGCCAGAGCTGATGGAGAAAATATTCATCAGAAGGGTACTATCTCCATCTGTTGGTTGTGCGTGTGTATTATGTATTTGTGTGCTTTTCAACTCCTGTTTTTTCCCTAGGCAAAACAACTGATTGTTAAGTTTTAGCTTGAGGCAGTCTGGGTTTTTGTTTTCTGCACAGTAAGCTTGACAAATCTCTTGTCAGAGGTTTTTATCAGTCTTTGTATGGCAAGCAATATCTATTATTAACTCTGGCCAAATACTGATACTGGTCTAGTGCTGTCACTGTGTAAATGACTTGTAAACAGCTGATGAGTATTTAGGTGACAATGTACGTTTTAACTAGAGCTAGTCATGCACTTAGGTGATTTGTGAATACCTGAAGTGCATGACTAGTGCTGGCTGCTCTTGCCCTTGGTTTTGATTTGTACCTTCTCCTGAGACTGGTATCAGTGAACTTTGGGGATTAATATTTTCCTGTCTTACACAGGGATCTAGTGGATGAAGCTAAAAATTATCTGCTGTTGCCCCAAGAGCGACCACTGATGCAAGGACCAAGAACTAGACCACGCAAACCCATCCGCTGTGGAGAAGTGCTCTTTGCAGGTATGTATAGCTCCTTCTGGCTTAGGTCAGGAGACTCAAGTCTGGATTTTCTGGTGATAGTTCTTCTGTAAGGCTAGTCTTTACAACATGTTTCTGAAGTGACCTGTGCATTAATATTTGGGGATTTATCTTATGCTTTCTTACTTGTGTGATTTCTTTGGTGCTATGAATGCCACAGTTATGCTAATCCTCTTGAAAAATCACATTCTGTCTTCTAATTATAATCCTCAGAATGAGTAAGTCAGAGATGGGGCTACTGGGTTAAGGCTGACAAAGTTCGGAGGGATTATTTGTACCAGGCACATATACAGTACGTGAGCTCAGTGTGTTATTATGACGCTACTTCTTGTGTTTGGTTCCTACAGTGGGGGGCTGGTGTAGCGGGGATGCAATTTCCAGTGTCGAGCGCTATGACCCTCAAACCAACGAGTGGCGGATGGTGGCTTCCATGAGCAAAAGACGCTGTGGTGTTGGAGTCAGTGTTCTGGATGACCTCCTCTATGCTGTGGGAGGCCATGATGGTTCCTCTTATCTTAACAGTGTAGAAAGGTAGGTCTCCATAAGGCCAGTGCGCAAAATGTTAACTCTGGATGTTTAAACCTGGGTGCAGCCTCTTAAAAATGAGTTCATTTTGCCAGCTGCCTTCTTGTTCTGCTGAAAACCTGAAATTTATATTACGTTACCTACATTTCCTCCTCCCTTGTGTACCCCTTCAATATTGTGTTGGTTTACTGCTGAACTAGGACTTCATGCATAACACCTTGTGTCACGTAATCCCCAGCTTAACGAGACAAGATGTAGCCTTTGGTATAAGGAAGGCATATGTAAGAGATGGGCCTGGGTATAATTGATGGGAGAAGTGATGATCCTGGTTAACCTTCTTTGCGATTGCTGGTTTGTTTTTAGCATTGTTGAGGAAGGTGAGGTTACAGTAAGTATTTCTTAGATGGTGAGTGAAAGAGCCTGGAATTTTATTGTGGAGTGTTAACCAGAGAATTAAGGAACCTTGCAAACACTTACACAGAAGGAAAATAGGTCAGGTTTAGACCTGTGAAAGACCTAAGTCAAACAAGCTTTGTCAAACTTACTGTTTCTGGGAGCTGCATATGGCAATCCCCATGCCTAAAAGCCACGTGACTCAAGTGCTCCTAGCACTCTAAATCTCAGCCCTGTAACAGATCCAACAAGCAACACAAATACCGCCTTTGTCCTCAAGCCTCCCCTTCTTCCCACGTATCTCCTTGCATACTCCCAGCTTCTCAGATCATGGCCTTAGCCTTACATCTCCCATGTCCCATACTTTTCTGCTATGCACCGTGTTTCCTTGTCTCTGGATTCCCAAGTCCATGGGGTTCCTTCCTCTTTTATCTCGAAGTGCAGGTCCCAGTGCTGGCTGAGTTCTTGCGTGAACCGCAGAGAACATACAGCAGAGGAACTCTCTCTGCTGCTCTTTGCATAGATGCAAGTTGCCACATGTCAGCCAGTCCCTGGTAACTTGCTGCCTTATGAAGCTGAACCTTTGATTTTCACTTTGAATCATCTCAAGCTGCAGTTTGAACATCCCTGGAATAACATGTATTGGATGCATTATATCAGTTATGGGGTTTTATCCAACTTACAAAATAGCTGTGTTGTGGTTTAAGCTCAAGATAAGCAAGTTTCACTGCCTGGAAGAGCCTGAAGTATACCTAGACAAGCAATTTTGTGCTGTTTGGTGTGTTTTTCTAGGTATGATCCGAAGACCAATCAGTGGAGCAGTGATGTGGCCCCCACCAGCACCTGCAGGACCAGTGTTGGAGTAGCAGTTCTTGGGGGCTACCTCTATGCTGTGGGTGGCCAGGATGGTGTCTCTTGTCTCAACATTGTGGAAAGGTACTTTTTAGTTAAATTAAAAAAAAAAAAAAAAGTGGTGCATGGGGACAAGAGCGTCTCTTAGAAGGTGCAATTGATACAGACGAGCTGGAGAGGGGGGTAAGTACTGTACAAATCTTATGGGGATTTTTCTTTGGAGAGAATAAGGTCAGTCTTCCTGCCCCTTTGTGAAGATGCCGACACTTCACTAAGCTTCAGCACTTATTCTTTTGCCAGGTATGATCCCAAAGAAAACAAATGGACTCGAGTGGCTTCCATGAGCACCAGGCGCCTGGGGGTTGCAGTGGCTGTGCTGGGGGGCTTCCTCTATGCTGTGGGAGGCTCTGATGGGACTTCTCCTCTCAATACGGGTATGCCTTTTGCTGTCCCTCATTGCAGTCAGCACTTGTCACTGTCCTATTTGTCCTTAGTGTCCCCAGATGGCTGTTGAATAAATTAGTCATAACTTTGCTGTGTTTTTTCTCCTTTAAACTTGATTTTTACCGTACAGTAATTCACTTTTTAGGCTTGTGAGCCCTTATTACCTGGTTCTGTGTTGTTTTTTTCTTTCTCAATGCCGCATTTGGCAGTGTATCCTGAATAAAATACTTTGATTTGCATAACAGTTGCAAGCACATCTTTTTTCCTGCAGTAGCCCTTTTCTGCTGTAGGAAGGAAGGTGCCAAAGGTAAAACTACTGCAAGATGGTAACGCAGGTCAGTTTGTAGCATTGTCAGCTCACTCTTGAGTGAAGATGCTGAATGTGATTTGACTTTGTAGGACTGGAGAGACAATAGCAAGCCTTCTATAGAAGAAAGGCATTAGAGTGAGAGATAACAAACTGGTTCGTCGTATTTTCGGTGGGTGGAAATTGCAGCGTCTTTACAGATTGAGCAATACTTTGGATGCAGGTTCAAAACTGCTAACCCCTGCTGCCTGCCAATCCTGTTGTCCAAAGATGTGTCGTTTCCTCTGCAGTGGAACGCTACAATCCCCAGGAGAACCGCTGGCACACAATTGCACCCATGGGGACGAGGAGGAAGCACCTGGGCTGTGCAGTATACCAAGACATGATTTATGCTGTGGGCGGCAGAGATGATACAACAGAGCTCAGTAGTGCTGAGAGATACAACCCTCGAACCAACCAGTGGTCTCCTGTTGTGGCCATGACATCCCGCCGAAGTGGAGTGAGTTTGGCTCAGTTTGCTTGCTTTTACCGTACGTAATCACGTGGTGAGAGCACAGGGTAGTGTCATCTTGGGAGGTTTGTCTTTTGCTTCCTCTCTACCTTCACCTTTCTTCTTCTGTGAGGAGAAAGGTTTGCAAAAAGTCAAAGCTCTTTAGCAAGACTAGTGAATGAAGTGGTGGTTGTGTTATGCCTTAGATAGCTGTTTAACATGCCTGAGGATGGGGAAGTGGAGTCATTTGAGGGTCTTGTTAAATAATTTTAGTCCCTTATATGGAGTCATCTACTTAGGCCTGAAACCGAGGAGTTCTTTAGGTTTTTACTTGGTGAAGCAGCCATACTTGGTGTGAGATACTATTAGAGAACACTATCAAAATTAGTACCCAAGTCTCATCCTGCAATCCACTTTGGATGAATTAGGAGGTGAACATACCAACTTGCCCAGAAGAAAGAGCTGGGAAACTGGACAAGTATGTGTTTAGATACAAAATTCCAGCCAAGTCTTTTCATTGCCTTGAGATGTGTGTGGGAACAGGGTTTCTGGGCTTTCACTTAGTATGTCGCCTCTCCGAATCCTGTGAGTATGGGGAGTGACAGCATCTTCACATTAACTGCTAATCTTCCCACTTTCTGTAGACATGCGAACAAAAGATTAACATAGTGTTTTAAGTAGTCATCGTGTTTGGGCAGATGCAATCGTTATGAATATTTATCATTGGATACTGGATTATATAGTAAAGAGTGGATTAATTCTGTCTCTATGTTAGTACTTCAGTGTCTGGTGAGGCAAGTATGAATCATAATTTGAGCAGCTACTGGTTTTGGAGGCAGAGAATACGTATTTATTTCCATCCTCAAAACATATAGTACACTGTCCAACACACTCCTTTTTAGTTACTGATGAGGTGTTGACTTTTCATGAACCTCTTCTATATTTGCTTTCTGTAGGAACTACTAAACAGATGTGTCTGTAGCCTTCCTGAGTTGTTTCCAACTTCCTCAAAGCCAAAACAAGGACGGGCCATTTTACATTGTGTTCTTGTTGTCTTTTCTCTGTTATGCCATGAGATATTTTCACTGGAAGTGATCTTCCAAAACCTCAGAACTGTTTGAGATTTCAGTGGTGGTGTGCTTCAGCAGAAAGACAAGAGAGAAAGTCCGGAGGCCAAGGTGCTTAGAGATGTTCCAGACCTCCAGCCTGAGAGGAGTAGGGCAGGGGCTTACATACGGTTCTCCTAGTTTAAGCAAGCGTTCCAGGCTGTAGGCTGGCAGATACTGATACATGTGTGTGTGTCATACTTTGTTAAGAATTTCAGTCCAGGACATAGTGAGTTTTGGCTGATAAAGGCTTAGGTTCTCATGTATCTATTATCACACAAGCAGTTCTAGTTCTTGTAGTTGGTAGTGAGGGGAACCTTCTGCTTTTTCTTTGATGGTCTCTATTTTGAGATACATATTTAACTGTTTATGTCCTGTTATTTTTTGGCTATTTTGTTTGTCCTTTTTCTCCCCCAGACCCTCTACTACAGATTGCCTTTCACCAAACATGCTTATTAAATCCTTTTATTAACATTTTCATTTTAACCTTTTCAGGATCTGTCTTCTCAGGACATCCCAGCTAATAGCTACTATCTGTGATGGTTGTTTTGCAGGTTGGCCTTGCAGTGGTGAATGGACAGCTAATGGCAGTGGGGGGTTTTGATGGCACAACGTACTTGAAGACCATTGAGGTGTTTGATCCAGATGCTAACACATGGAGGTAACTGTTAAGTTTGTGAAACAATCAAATAGTGATCCCCAGCTCTAGCAGCTGCCACCCAACTGGAGCTGTCCTAGCCAAATTAGAAATGTGAGGTACGCCATAGTGAAGAACTTGGGTGTGGTAGCCAGTCTACCATGCACGTTGTGGCTTGTTGGCTAGCATGGAAGTGTAAGAAAGAAAACCACATTTTGAAAGATATTCCAGTATGCCATTTACCTTCAGCATCCCCATGCCTATAACTAGGGCAGTTGAGAAACATTTTCGTGCTTATTTCTGATTGAATTCCAGCCATTGATTCCATTTTAAGTAAAATGGGAGCGAGTTTTCCATAGTTTTCCCATCCAAGTATCCCAAGAGATTTAACCAACACTTAATGAATAAAATCTCATTGCATCTTTTGCAGGTAGGAAAATGGTGTGTAGATAGGTTACTGAGACCCAGAGAAAATAGCAGGCAGTGATTTAGCAGGCTTGTTGGGTAGCAAGCAAAGGGTCATACCAAAACCTAGTTTGATTTTTTTAAGTGCTGATTTTGAACATAACAAAAATGGACCACACTGAGAGAGAGATACCCCTTCTGTTTGTTCTGGGCTGTCTCTTCTGCTTCCCAATAAAATTAAGCTTGCCATTAGCAGAAGGAGCTCACAGGCATCATGTAGAATTCCACCTACTCATTTTTTGCTTTCAAGCTGAGCCTCTGATTTCCAAATCCTTTTGGAGGAGCTGAAACAGAACACTTTGGGCATTCTTTCCCTTTAAATCTGCAAGACAGCAATTAGAAGAATTTAATCTGATTGACAGACTGAGAGGAATAATAGGTTGCCCAGAGAAGCTGTGGATGCCCCATTCCTGGCAGTGTTCAAGGCCAGGTTGGATGGGGCTTTGGGCAACCTGGTCTAGTGGAGGGGGTCTCTACCCATGGCAGGGGTTTGGAACTAGATGATCTTTAAAGGTCCTTTCGAACCCAAACCATTCTATGATTCTATGAAATTGCCTATCAAAGTTATGTACTGAGCAGAAAGGCTGTTTTTCATATTACTTTTTTAGTTATAACTACACTTGAAAGCAATTGCCTGTGTATTTCTTCCCAAGTCTAGTTAGTATAAAATTTCAAGCTCCTGTCTGTATTCTTGCTGCTTTAGTAATCTGGCAGGGGTGGGGAACAGAAAGAAACTAATGTCCTTATTTCTTCCAGCCCAGTAATACTAGTAGATTTAACCTTTCCTGGTGAGATGAGCTGTCATAAGAAGCAGTGGAGGAACTTCCCTTTGTTTGTTGAGCTATGGACAATGCCTTTTGAACTGCTGAGAAAACCAGTTGAGTAGAGAGTAATACGTACTTCATGTTCCTCAGCTGAATGGTTTCAGCTACTTCCAGTGACAGTAATAAGATGTCTAGAGGTAGGAGTTACTGCCTGGGATAGCATTCACAGAAGTTTAGGAGGTTGTTCAAGGTATTAGCTTGTGGGGTTTTTCTTCTCACCAAATCCAGTATAGCTGGTCAACGTCTGTGGTCTTCTCTTTTTGTTTGCTGAACTTCTTGCTCTGTGAAGGATATTTTTTCATTTGTGTAGCCTGACTGAGAAATGCTTCCGATTACAATTTGGGTTTAACACTGCATTGGTAGGAGTTATTTGAAGATCTTGCTTCTCCTGTTTCTGCTGGCAGACTTTGGTGACACAGAGAGGAATATGCAGCTGAAGTGAGTAGGATGTTGTAGTCTATAGGGATCAGATTTCCATATGAAATGGAGCCACCATTTCAGTAACATATTTTGGAGAAGCAGATGGTGCTTGGGATGTGTTACATCTTGGTTGGATCAGCTGAATTTAGGGTATTAGAAATAGAAAAAGAATTAGTTGTATTGTAAGTAGCAAACCTATATCCTTGCTCTTGTGTTACCTAAAATACAGCCCAAGGTCAGCTGCAGCCTGCAAATCTTTCTTTTTTATCGTGCACGTAACCACTTGCTTTCTCCCTGTCTGGTAACTTGAGTGACTGAAAACCGCGGTATCAAAAGAAGAAGCAGTTTCTGTTTTGAGAGAGAAAAGCATGAGCAAATACAGCTGTTTACCTTGGAAGTACATAAAATGACTGCTACCCAACTTACTTGTCATGGTTCGCTTTAACCAGCGGTTAACAACGGTGTGATTGTGCTGACAGGGACTGATAAGGTCTTTCCTGTGGTAGCTCCATGAAGGAGCTGAACCAGTGTGAGCACTGAAACCTTGTCTTTGCAGGTTGTATGGTGGGATGAACTATCGGCGGCTGGGAGGAGGAGTAGGTGTTATCAAAATGACACACTGTGAATCTCATATATGGTAAGCATCAAGACGGGGGGAGACCCCTTGGTTCTCGTTCCTAGAAAAACTGAAGAGACTTGTTGACACTGGACCTCTTTGCAGCTCTGGTATGAACGGTCTAGATCCAATGTAACTCTTTGCCAGTGACTCTTTCTATGGAATTATAAAAATTACTTCTGTGAGAGTGCCCAATGGGAGACCACGTCAGACTCCAGGGAACCACTGGACAAAAGTAGAAGTGTTGCTTATGTCCGTATTTTTTCTAAATAGTCTACACTTTTGAATAAACCAAATGGTAAAAGATACTGTAGCGTAAACAATGCTGATGTAGAGGCCACGTGCTATACTGGGAGTCTGGCAAGGAGGAGGGTTTCCTGCTTTCCCTCCTGCTGTGAGCAGCGGATGTGGCAGCTGTGTGGTGGGCGAAAGAGGAAAGTGATACAGAAAACATTGCTTTTTGCCTTATTTACAGAGAGCTTCAAAAAAAGTACTTGACCTGCAAGGTGCCACCTTTGCACAGAAGCTTTTCTGTGCACAGAGTATATTTATTTTTTCATTTAATTTGTATCATGTATTTTCTTTGTATCGCTCACAGCGATAATTCCAGCTTTTTATATACATATATGTGTATTTTATATATATATGTATATGTGTGTGCGCAATTTGAATTTTGACAAGCTGGTGGCTAGGGCAGGGCTATGTCCTGCCAGCTATTGTGGTTCCAACCCTTGTGGTATGTTTTAGGGTCTCTTAGAGTACAGGAGAGCTATGAGGATGGGTGCCCTGAATCCCTTTTCAGTCTTGCTGGAGGCAAGAAGTAAAACTGGAACTCTCATCTATCGACTGAATCAGTGAAGTGCTCAAAAAGGGTGAGAGTGAAGAGGATTTCAAATGATGCCTTTTTACTGTACAGTGTATGGTACAAAAGTACAGCTTTTGTCTCTCCCCTTCCCTTGTATATGAACCTAGAAACAACTAGTTGTTGCTTACTTATAAATCCCTTTTTCTCACATTGCCTGCTAGATATCGGTTCTTGTCTGAAGCTGGGATGCAGGTATCATCTGTTAATTCTGACTAGCCTAGATCAGCTCTCACTTCTCAGGTTCTTGCTAGAATGGCAGACCCGCAGTTGGCTCCTGCTGGAAA